CCCCAAAACCCCAAAACCCCAAAACCCCGGCAAATGAGAATTCATGGTTTGAGGTAGAAATTTCCTAATAAATCTAAACTTAAAGAGCAGATTTTCTCATATAATTGAAATTAGTAGCAAAATAAAAGTAGAATGCTAATTTGTTTTATCACTAATATGTTCCTGGTTTACAGATAGTGCATTCATTATCTTAACAGAAGCCAACTGGACATCTAGGTGATTAATCTCCAGTCTTGCATATAAATTCATTATCTTTCATGTCCATGACCTCTACACCATTTTTAATACCAGACATTCTCCATTACCAGAGACTCATTTTAACTCTCTAAGGGTTACTACATTGGGCCTAAATTTTATATGTACCTGATTAGCTCAATGTTGAATCTACACTTCTGCTGACAGCTTTAGCAACAGTGCCACTGATGGAAGCTTTCTATCCGATGAGTTCACTTCCAACTTCAAATCCTAGTGAGAGTGAAGCTTAAATTTCCTGACTATTGGTCTTAGTGGTTGAAATTCCTGATGTTGTTTCAACACTTGCGCTTATTTAATCAGTAGAAGCAATGACCTTGTACCAGTAGCCTGTGATCACAATTGGAGTAAAAGTTAATTTAGATATAACCATACTTCCAATGTTATCATTCCATGCTCCTCCTTCGTAGGTAGTAAGGTCGATCTAAGCTGGTCCATTGATAGTCTTCATCTCGCCTTACAAGTAATCTTGCTTATAAACATAGGCTATTAAATTCTTAGGGACCACAATGCTTGATGCACCACCTGGATATCTTGGAATGTCAATACCATTTCTCTTGAGATCAGCAGAAAAATATTATCCTGGTGGGAAGGTTCCAGATCTGTCGATGTTGAATTATGAACCTCCTATGATCATAACTCTTGGATCTACATTTTCATCATAGTTATAAACCTCTATATAGCTAACCCAATCATTAACTGAAAGAAATGGTGCATTGTATGGCCCTAGGAGTTCAAATTTATCGGACCATTCATTGCCTTCGCAGTTATTATTTGAGCAAAACAAGACTCTTAATCCTGATCCAATTTGGATAGAACTAAGTTCATCATTGAAACCAGGTTAAAGATTCCCGAGATTACCCTTATATCCTGGGTAAAGCACGATCTTTCTTCCTCCAAATCCAGTATCAGCGAATAAGTTACATTATCCATAGGAAGCCCATTAGTTAAAGGTAGCAAGATTCATTACTTTGCTAACATTTTGCTCTTGAGAACCGAAGATGTTAAGAAATAGAAGAGTTCCAGAAATACCTAGCAACATTCCGGTTACGATCTTAAGCATTGTACTTCTCTTCTTAGTTGCTTCTGATTGTAGTCTTTAAAATGTTTGTGTATTCATTAGATATTTTTTTATATTAAGTGTAAGATTTATTGATAAAATTACTAAGATACAGAGCAATATATTCCATTAATAATAAATACATTATGTGAAGATAGTATTTTTTATTTCAATTGTATAGGTTGCATTCTCGAAATGATAAGATGTTTACTTGCCTATAGATTTCTTCCATTCTCTTGTGGAAGTGCTAGAAGCGATATATAGGAGGAGGGCCAATATATATGATTATAGGGAGAGATTTTAGTAAGAAGATTCGAATTTGTGAGTAATTATGCCTATCATTTGTGAACTCATTGATTTCCTAATATTTCCTACTCTGTGGTAGATTAATAAAAGTA